GAGGCTTCCTTACTCACTGTGCTCTACTAGCACTGTGCTACTGCTAGCAAAGAACAGACCACCACAGTCTTGCCGTGGTATGCATTTGCATGCCTTACTTGCTAACATTCTCAGCGAGCACTGCTGCGAAACTCCAAGTTTCTATCAGTGAAAAGATTCCTTTCTCTTCTCATTGTATTTACCCTCAAATCTATAAAACAACAAATCATTTCCACATATTATTCTATTCTGGGGGAGTTCCTGCTGTCATAAAATACTTATAATTTCCAACTTTCCCTTCCACTTATATTTTGGGGGTTTTTTTGGAAAGGAGTCACATAGATAAGGTCACCTTTTCATGAGGAGAGCGCATCTATTCACTGAGAATATCAAGACAAAAATAGAGATGAGGTGTTAACGAGGTGTGTCACAGTAACTTGAGACTGTAGCCAGACCGCTATAAAGCCATTCAAGCTTGACAAAGAATAAAGCTGAACTTGAGTCATGTTTGAATCTCAGACTCTTCTGTGTTAATGTAAAGCAAAGAGATCATGAAGACTAATCTACACTGGCCACTGAAACACATGTTGGCTTGCTATGCTAGTGGAGTACTGGGCAAAATCCTCAGTTGTTTTAGTAAGGCAGTCAATAGTATAACAAGTCTCTAACTCTGCATAAGGAAAAATTAAATTCTAAAGAAAGGTACTTTCATCCATCTCAAAATGAGCTCTGAGATAAAAATACAGTCTAACGTACCTCCATTCTTTCCTTTTGGACTCCTGAAGGAGCGATGTAGATTTCATTCCTAAGAAAAGTTACAGACAGGGAAAATCGATAAACACAGGGTTGTTGAATTGCATAGGCATTAGAGCTCTCAAACCTCTGAAAAGGAAATAGCAAATCTAGTCGCTCGTAATTTAATAACTTTCTTGTTCCTTCCATAGATTGACATGTAGATGGTTTTCAAAATAGACCTGAATCATAAAAAGGCATATAAAATCTTTAACTTGCAGGTTTACAAAACCATGCTTTCAACTTGACAAGAGATCTGAAACACACGTAGGAAGTACAGCCTTATTATTCCTACAAAGAAAAGCACACAGCCTCACCCTGCAGTAATTCCAAACACAAATTCCCAGAATTCAGAATAAAAATGGAACAAGAGAAGTTGCAAGTAGATATTGATCTATGACAAAACAGGTGACAATATAATATAAACAATATATAAACAATAATATAATATAAACAATATTAGTTATCTGTAGTATTCTACAACGTAAATACTACTGGGTTTTGTTATAACTGTGTAGTTTAGGTTTTTAATGCATTTATAAATTTATTTGTATTAATAAAAAGTTAACACTAATTCAATGCAATTAAGTGACTGAAATTCAAGTAGAAGTGCATCACTTCTTGCAAGGTTTACATGAACAGAGACTATAAAAAAATCAATTTACATTAAAGTTATTTTAAGATGGCATCTGAAATATTTTCAATAATAGCAAAAAAAAATTCAGATTATCTTTCTCAACTGTAATCATTATTCAGTTTCAACAGAAACTTACTAAATTCAGGAGCACAGAGACATCTAGTGAATAATTAGTTAAGCTACAGATACATTTCCTAAGGACCATGAAATGTTCATATTTCTGGACAAGAGCACTTAGAAGAGCAATGAAGCTGGTGAAGGGTCTAGAGAACAAGTCTCATAAGGAGCAGCTGAGGGAACTGGGGTTATTTAGTCTGCAGAAAAGGAGGCTGAGGGGAAACCTTATTGCTCTCTATATAACTACCTGAAAGGAGGTTGTAGGCAGGTGGGTGTTGGTCTCTCTTCCCAAGTAACAAGTGATAGGACAAGAGGAAGTGACCTCAAGTTGTTCCAGGGGAGGTTTAGATTGGATATTAGGAAAAATTTCTTCACTGAAAGGGTTGTTAAGCATTGGAACAGGCTGCTGAGAGAAGTGGTTGAGTTACCATCCCTGGAGGTATTCAAAAGACACGTAGATGTGGTGCTTAGGGACATGGTTTAGTGGTCGACTTGGCAGTGTTAAGTTTCCGGTTGGACTTGATGATCTGAAGGACCTTTTCCAACCTAAATGATTCTATGATTCTATCATTCTAACTCTTCCAAAAATACAACTCTAAAGATGATGTACTCTTCATAGTGGTAAAATGGCTGTGAGGCACATCAAAATGTGGCTTTATCATATTTGTAATTTTTAACATTCATGAGTTAACACTGTCAACATTGCATTAATTTAGTCTTAATTCCTTTGCATGAGCAAGATGATTGAGAGCGCAACATATCGAGAAATCAAGTGGTAATTCAGTTACTAATGAAAGACATGCATTTTTTCTTAAAACAAATGTTTTTCTTTTATAGAAATTAATCACAAAGAGAAAATCTGATGATGAAATACAGCCTTTGAAACACAGGGCACTTGATAAAGAGTTCTAAATCCATGCCATCCCACGTCCTAACTGGCATTTTTATTCCAAGTAGTTGATACGAATTGCACAGTAAGTAATGCTGATTAGGATTAACTGGTAAGACCAGTTGTTAGAATTTCAATCAAATTTCAATTGTTCTTTCACTATTTCCTATGTAACAATTCTAAGCTAGTCTGACCTCTGCCTCATAACTATTAATTTTGAAACACAGCTACTGTTACTGTAGGCATAAAACAGCACAGCTACATAGATTACTACTCCTAGACCACATACAATATTGGTACCAACTCTAATACGTATTTTGGTGTAGTCTGAGCAACCAAGTTATAGAACTGCTGAGGAAAACTGTACTAGTATGTTAGTGTATTCTCTGTTGACACAATTTGTTTGCCACAAAAAAAATGAATTGCACTGAAATGACAAAGAAAATAGGCTACATTTAGCTACTGATGAGAAATTAGTGCTAGAAAGATCTTTCCATAGACGAAGAACTTTAAAAACAAGAATCAACCCTCTTATCATTTCTCTCATTATTATTATTGCTCGTTTTGCTTGCAAAATCACGCGGGGAAGTGAAATGACCTGCCCAAAGCCATCAGAACAGCACAGATATTAGCATTTAGAGCCTTTACTTCATATATATATATATATATATA